ATAATTTAGTTAAATATTGAATCATTTACAAACTATGAAAGATAATATATCATCTATAATATTTGAATCAGTTCTAGTTTAAAAAATAACCGAAAAAACCGGGACCGGAACCGAATTCTGCACTACAATCGACGATCTAGTCCCTGGTTTTTATAATATAGGAAAACCGGTTCCGGTTCTGAACCATTGCGGTTCTTAGCGACATAAACATTTAATTCATGTGATGATTTATGACATTTGGACACTTTATTGTCACTTTTTTTACTCCACTATATTTGTTACTTTTTTATTGTGACGTCCCAGAATTTAGGTCAAATATTATGAACGGTCAAGTTCACAGTAAGTCTCTTAATAATTTGACTCATTGAGTTTTAATGTACCTAAAGTAAAATAAATGAGTTATTTCAACTATTATAAGATACGAATGGTATCTTACTTCCAAATATATAATTTGAGAAACAAATCAAACAACTCAAACGACAACCTCAAGAATACGTCTGAAAAACCAAAATTTCGTATTAAGCCGTTGTGAGAAAAACAAACACTCAAGCCTCGTAGTACGTGCTTCCCTGTTTCCGAAAACATAAAAAACATCCAAAACGGAGTTCGTATGCAAAAGATACGACCGTATTAAGAATCCAAAACAAATATAATACTAATTTTTTTAAAATTGTCATAACTGTTTCTATCCATTGAGGGACTTGCGCACATCAAATGGAAATTTTGAAAGTGCTTTTAGACTCAGACGATAGCCTAATATTTAATTTCATATTTAAAATATTTTTAATAAAAGTATTTATAAAAGTAAAAAAAAAATAGAAAATAAGATGTTTTTGGATTTATTAATCGTAAAATCTTCAACTATTTATTTAAGTATGATTTCTATAATTGAAGTATTGGTTATGTATTCAAGAATAAAATATAAATCCAAATCCAATTGATGTGGATGTTAACGATGAAAATAGCCAAACACTCAATAATTTCGTGAACGACTAATATATACATGTATATTCGAATATGGACATGTAGCATAATCAATTACTTATGGTTGGTTAAATCGTAATAAATATACATCATATATGGTGTATTTTAAAACCAAGGTTTAACAAATTAATAAATTTCACATTTCCTAACACATGAGTTTAAATTTATATATTATCCAAATACATATACTAGTGTATATAAATTTAAAATAAATCAATACTCATCCAAATACACAAATAATTAGGGTATTATATTGCTTCTAAATTCAAACCAAACAAAATACATATGGAAATTGATCAATTACAAATTATACACACATTACATATTGAAACAAATACGTAATACAAATTAAATCAATACATACATAAATACAAATCCTCCTTAATAAATGAATGTATTTTTTTTATCACATGTCAATCTCTCATGAGTTTTGACACTTGTCATTTTGTGGTTTTTTTTAAATTAATTACTAGGTGTGAGGCTCATATATTATAAGAGTTGATTTAAAAAAAATTAAACATTAAAGTGTAACATAAAAAAAAAATTAATGTATAATTTTAAAATAAGAAATGAAAAAATGTATTTATTACAATTTAATATCATATATATGATATTCAATATTTTACATATATAAGTATATGATTTTAATTATAAAAATTGAAAAAACCAAAAATTAACAAGTGGATAATATTTATTTCAAAAATACCACAAAACGACAAGTGTCAAAACTCATTGAAGATTGACATGTAGTAAAAAACCTTCATTTATTAAGGAGGATTATCCGTTTGTCAATTTTTAGTTTGTATCAATTTTTGAAATTAAAATCATATATTTATATATGTAAAGTATTATATATATATATATATATATATATATATATATATATATATATATATATATATATATATATATATATATACATATATATATATATATATATTAAATTGCAATAAATTTATTTCTTTATTTCTCTTTTTAAAGTTGTAGATTAAAAAATATTTTCTATTTACACTTTAATGTTTAATCTTTTTTTAAATCAATCCGTATAATATACTAATTTCAAACCTAATAAATAAATAAATAAAACCTAAGTTTATTTTGTACAACTGAAATCAATCGTGGTCCCTTTTCGATTGAACTAACTGATCGAGGTCGTTGTCTCGGTCAAAAATAAACCAACTAACCTAAGTAGATATGGTAAGTCGGGTCGAATCCACAAGGAGTTTGTGGTTAAACTTTGTGTCAGAGCAGTTAATAAAAAGAAAAGTATTACTATCAATTGTCACAAAAAAGATTAAAACAAAATTCAAACAAAAGCTTGGAAATTTATCAATTAAAAATAAAAATCTCAATGAGAAAACTAGAGTACTCCCGGTTCAGTTATAGACATTTTAGATTCACACACTTTCTTCCGTAGAATCCTAATTCAATTATTTAGATGTAATTGGGGTTTATTAACTTGGAACACATAGTTTGGGTACATAGTATGTTCATTCAACTAATTGTCTTACTCATTTATGTCTAAATGAAATGGGTACAATTAGTGAACTAGCAATAAAATGTCTTACAACTACCTATTACCATATTGAGATTCAATATCATAAATTGGAATAATATATGTTGATTCAATCACTTGTCTTTATTCCTAAACTAATTGAATTTAGAAGAAATGATGAATTGGCAATAAACTATCTTAATTATGACATCAAACAACTTCATACAACCCAATTTCAATCATTATTACCAAAAGATCATCATGTGAAGCATAAAATAACAATTGGAATTAATTAGAATCAAGTAATAATCAAGTGTGTTCATCCAAAAGTCATAAACATCCCCGGAAGTAACCCTAACGGTTTAGCCTTCCATTAAATTCATAAAAACAATAAATTTGATGGAATGATTGAAATGCATAATAGAATTCACACACAAACTTAAAATCATCCAACAATTGTAACCTAATGATTATCAAAATATGGAACAAATAAACCTTGTGAAGAAGTAATCGTTTCTGAAAGTTATTAAAATTGATGAGAATCTCCGATTGAATGATCTTCAAATGTTGCTTGATGATGAATTGAATCGAATCTTGCCTTGAATCCGGATTAAAATGGAATGGATTTGTGTTTCCAAATGTTTCCAAGGGTTTTAGAAGCCTTAAAAACGTAGGGAAAACTCTGAAAATCATAGGTGGCAACCCTAAAAACAAATGCACAAGTCCCAATTTATAGTGTGAGACAAAAAATAATGAAATTGACCAATGTGGGACGTTGGACGTCTTAGACATCGTGTATAACGCCCATGCGTTCTATGTACGTCCTTGCATTCCATCTGTCGTCCTTGAAATACAGTAAAAATTGGCCAAAAACGTCAGACGTCTTAGGGGACGTCTTAGACGCGTTCGAGGACGCTAATCCTTGTTTTCTAAACTTTCCAAAACACACCGTTCCAACACGTAATGTGCCTAAAATGCCCAGACGTCCTAGGGGACGTATTAGACGCCATGTAAGACGCCGACGGGGGTTCCTCCTTCTTTTCTGCTTGAATTAACGACCAAATGCTGACCGTTTGACCTGGACGTCCTAGGGGACGTCTTAGACGCCTCGAGGCGTCCTTCATCTTCTGTGCAAGTTTTGGTGGTCAAAACGACATAACTAGCAAAAACACAAAACACGAAAGTTGTAGAAAATCTTGTCTAGTTTCCAGAACTTCTTTAGTCATGTCAATCAGTGCTCCAGGACTTGAGATATAATCAAAACAATGAAGAGTGGTCAACTTTCCCGGCAACATTTCTTTATTCCTTGAGCAATTCGTTTTACTTGTAGGTTCCGCCCACTTTTAGTACGATATATTGAATTGCATATGAAGTTCAACAACTCATCAAAGTACTGCCATTCTTGGACAATTACATATCAATTCAACATAATTATGACAATTTAACACATTCATAAAATAGACTTATCAAACCTCCCCAACTTTATTCCAAACTCGTCCCGAGATTGGCCTGAAATAATCAGTGTAGGCTTACTCTCTCATCCTAATAAAAACTCAATAGAATCACGAATTTCATACTTTTTATAACAACATTTCCAATAACACAGTATATTGATTTTGGGTTTATTATTTTCCTTTCCAGACTTTTAAACTCAAAATACATGTTATGCTTATTTTACTTTGTTGTTTGAAACCCTCCACTTTTTAAACCCTTTCTATTAATCAAACTCATGAGTAATCAGTTGAGCTCATTGCCAAAGTCCCCTTTTCAAGGTTCACTAACATAGTTAGCGCGTTCGGTAACACTTAATGGACCAACCCATACACTCCCGCTATCGAGGGGTCACATATTATTTCACACAAATGTCTTCACCTTGAACTTTTCTTCATATTTGTATTGATTGAGCATTCTTCAAGTTCTTTAATGACTTCATCGGATTTGATCATCTTTGTATTTGACTTGAGCTTGATTATATGTACTTTGAAGTTCTTCAATATCTTTTTGATGCTTTTTGGTTGTGTGAAAACAATAATAGCCCCTTCCCAACCCCAAAGGCGTAGGAGTAAGTAAGACCAAGTACTCAGATGGTGATGACACACATTGTTCGGTTGGGTCCTCAATTGAAAGATCGTAGGCTCGAGCCAAAAACCTTCATTTTTCAAACACTTTGGTATTTCACATAACAATTTTTTTTAACTAAATATAGAGATTACCACACCGGATGAGCGATCCACAAAATCAATATTAAATAAATATTATGACTCAATGTACGAAACTCCTATCATTTTCCATTTTGATGAGTTACATTCAAGATATAGAGATGCTACTAACTCATCACATATTTCATGGAACCAACCCTAGAGAGAATAATAAATAATGGGTTCAAGATTGCAGTACATTCATCCCAAATAAAAGACATGAAAATCAAAAGAAAAATAAAAGAAAAAGGAAAACTCTTTCACAAACAACCATAAAAATGAAAATCCAAAGAGGATCTCACCAAAGTTTACTGCGGGGGAGCCTATGGAGGATAACATGGGTATGGTGGAGGATACCCAAAGATCGATCCAGCTAAATCCTCAAAGCGAGTAGACTCCTCTGTAGCTGGTGGTGGATGATAATGCTCATACTCGGATGGTGGTGGATAGTTGCTCGGATCCCCAGATCGGTAGAAGACCGGAGCTGGAGCTCGGTATCGATACTATGGCTGATCAATGTCCATCGGTTCATATTGGACACGACTTTGTCTGTAGGCAGCATCTGCATAATACTCCTGCTAGTACAGCTGACGAGTGGCAACACTATAAGTGTTGCTAGCTGTAATGCCAACCTGTCGCATCTGCTCAGTAAGATCAGCTAGTGTCATGTCGACACCCTCCATCCATGTATCTGTTCTCCCCATCCAGGACTGCACCTCCTAATTATGCATATTTTGCCTCCCTACAAAGTTCTCCCAAGCTGCTTGCATGTTCCATCCCTGACCTGCTGCTTGTCCCTGTTGCTGCTGATGATCCTCCTGAAAATCACCAATGAATGGCTCCTCATCCCCCACTCCGAGTGGTGTCGTGTATGTTAGGTTTGTGGCAGAATCCCTCAGAATATGTCTCCCATTTTCAACATGAAATGAGATATGTCTAAAAGAAGTAGCAGTAGGGCGAAGGATACATGGGTATGATGTAACTCATTGGACCCTGATCTTATTCCCCAGCTCCCTAGTCACATATGCCGATATCAAGGCGACATGGGGGGTGGTGACTCTGTGCTGGATATCAAAACAGGACCATATATTGCACATAGCATTATATGCATAAGAAGTAAATATGGATCTTGTCATCAATCCATATAATACATATAAATCTTGTGTCCTCACCGCCCTGGGATCACTATTCCTCGGGTTCACATTTCCCGTGATAATGTTATGCAATGCCTTTGCTAAAGATACCAGTTCGCGAAATCTGTCGTATACCCTCGTCCCCTCATGGAATCCTGTACGGTATACTTTTGTCATGCTAACCCCAGGGTTACCCCCCTCGCGTCAATACATCTATACTCAGTCGGCTGATTTTCAAGATCATGCAGATGATATCCAATGTCTACATGAAACATGTCCCGAATACCCTGCACAGTCATCACTATATCGTGAGTACGAACCATCCCAATCAGCTGCAACTCCTCCGACCTACTAGGCACCTCGACACGTCGAAGTGTCCTCATCCATTCCCGCACTATACCAACGTAAATCTGTGTGGGATTGAAGTCCAGCACTCCACCCCATTCGTAGCGATCAAACGTCTCCACAATATTGTACCCAGTGAAGCTCGGTCGCTCCACCATGTACTCTGCAATAAAACCCGTAATCGGATGAGTCGCCTCGTACACTGCTGGGTGAATGTTGTCTGGATGCTCATACAATATCTGGTACTGTGGGTCAAAGGCCACAGGTACATTCGGCTCCGGCTGTCTAGCTGGTTGTCTGGCTGCACTGCTAGATGATGCTACCCTTGATCTCTTTGCTGGCATCTGCAAAATCAACCACACACAAAACAACAAAACAAAACTTGCCATTAAACACATCAAATGTCACAAAAATAAAACAATAATCTAGTTGGAAAGTTGTTCCAAACAAAGTTAAAATAAATTCAGTCTAAATAAATAAGTGTTTTAAGTCCTGTTATGTTTTCAGTAACTAAATATTTTTTAGGAGTTTATCCAATCAGTAAAACGCAGATAAACCCAAGTTTAACTGCAACTGACAAGTTCTAACTGAAACCAAAACAGAACTATAACAAGTAAATATTCAAACTAATAATGCAATGTCAAAATTCAATGTCATTCTAAATTTTTTCTAAAAACTTGAATTTTAATCTAAGCACAAATGTAAACATAACAATGATTGTTTTTTTTTTTAATTTTATATATATATATATATATATATATATATATATATATATATATATATATATATATATTAATAAAAAAAAAATTAAATACCCCCTCCCCAACTTTAAACCTTGGATCGTCCTCAATACAAAAGAAAATTAGAACACATAAAACAAAAAATAAAAGTAAAAAAAAAAATACCCCCTCCCCAACTTTACGTCTTCAGCCGGACGGTTTACCTCGACTAAGTTGCATCTGAATATTGAGGTACCTCGAGCGTTGTTTTCTCAACGAGTGTCGTTTCACCATCTACCATTCGAATGTATGGTTTGAGTCTTTGTCCGTTTACCTTGAATGGTTCACCGCCTTTCGTGTACTTGATTTCAATGGCACCGTGATCCGCTACATTTGTCACCACAAATGGTCCACTCCATTTACTCTGAAGCTTTCCGGGGAAGAGTTTGAGATGAGAGTTAAATAGCCACACCAGTTGTCCTTCAAAGAATTGTTTCCGGACAATGTGTCGATCGTGAAATGCTTTCGTCTTTTCTTTATAGATTTTTGAGCTTTCGTAAGCTTCCTTTCGAATTTCTTCCAATTCAACAAGTTGGAGTTTTCTTTCCGTACCTGCATCACTCAGTTCAAAATTAGCATGTTTTATGGCCCACATGGCATGGTGTTCCAACTCCACCTGGAGATGGCATGGCTTCCCATAAACAAGCCGATACGGGGACATTCCAACGGGCGTCTTATTGGTTGTTCGATATGCCCATAATGCATCATCTAATCTTAGGGACCAATCTTTTCGGTCAGGACGAACAGTCTTTTCCAAGATGCGTTTTATTTCCCTGTTTGACACCTCTACTTGTCCACTTGTTTGTGGGTGATATAAAGTAGCAATCCTATGAGTGACACCATAGTGTTTGAGTAACTTTGCAAAATGCCAATTTTTAAAATGGGAGCCCCCGTCACTAATAATAGTTCGAGGGATTCCGTGTCTGGAAAATATGTTATTTTTAACAAATTTACAAACAATACTATGGTCATTCGTGCGTGTAGCCTCGGCTTCGACCCATTTTGATACATAATCAACGGCTACAAGAATGTATATATTTCCAAAAGAAGTAGGGAACAGACCCATAAAGTCAATGCCCCATACATCAAAATTTTCAACTATTAAAATTGGGGTCATTGGCATCATGTCCCGTCGTGAGATCCCCCCAACTTGTTGGCAATGAATACAAGCTTTAACAAATGTATGTGCATCTTTAAAAATAGAGGGCCAGAAAAAACCGCTTTGTAGAACTCGGTGCCCTGCCTTTTTGGCACTAAAATGTCCTCCGCATGCATATGAATGGCAGTGTTGAAGAATGTCTTCTTGCTCTGTATGTGGTACACATCTCCTAATCACTTAATCCGCTCCAATTTTGAAAAGATCCGGTTCCTCCCATATGTAGTATTTTGTTTGAGAGTGGAAGAACCTCCTTTGTTAAGCATTCCAATACGATGGAGTTTCCCCTGTCACAAAGTAATTCACTAAATTAGCAAACCATTGATCGGGATGTCAAGCCCACCAAGCAAATTACACCCTTTGTTTGCTAACTAAACGTAATATAATGGTAAAAAGGGGTATCGATCCTCGGGGTAATGGTTGTATTCAATCACCAATGCAATTTAATAGAACTAGTGAAATTAAACTAACTAACTACAATTAAAATAAAAAGGGGGGTGTTTGATTACTTGATAACTAAAATACTTGAATAACTAAAAACCTTGCAATTAAGCAAGTTGATGAGATGCTCAAAGGTTGTGAATAATTGGTTAATTAAGGTTATTCAACACAATGAACATTTGTGTGTTTATCATTAGGATCTAATACAAAGCTTATCTTTCATCCCAAATTGGTTATAGCAATCATGAAGCATGATATGCCAAGATTCCTCATAGATAGTATGGAGGTTGGGGAAGCCCACAACACACCTTCTTAATTAAGATCAAGGGTCAATTGAAGCAATTAAGCCCAAGAAATCAATTAGCTTTAAGAATGAAGGAATCCCCAATTCCTAGAGGATGTCAAATGCTTACACATCCATAAAGGATATATGATTCACAAGCTAGAGATGATTTCTACCATCATAAAGCCTTTGTTCTAGACAAATTTAATGATCCAATGCAAAATCAATGAAATAAATCAACTATTGCTCAATCAAATACTAAACTCATGATCAAAGTATCAAATAAGCATAAGAATTGCAAACTAGAATCATAAACATGGAATAAGTTGATAATCAACATAAATCCTTAAAAACCCACAAACATTCATTGGTTTTCAGCCAAAATTAACCAAATAAGAGTATTAGCCACTCATGGCAACAAAGAAACAAGAACAATAATCTAATTGCATAAAGAAACTACCTAAGATTTGGAAAGATGAAAGGAAATGAACTTTTGCTCCCAAAATCGCCTCTTGCCGGTCTCTAATGGTGGGAAATCGTGAATATGAGCCCCAGATCTGATCCCCAAAGGTTAAGGCAAGCCAAATGACCAAAATGCCCAAACTGGGCAGTTGCGCGGGTACCCGCGCGACGGAAATTTCACCCGCGCAAATGTTGCTGTAATGTTATTGGTCCACCAAGCCACTACACCCTTCCACTACCAAAGATTCCTTTGGTCCCCCCTCCTTGTCCCTGTAATTTGAAATGCACCAATCATCATTTAGCCATCAAATGGATGCTCCAAGCCCAAAATTTGAATTTTATGATCCATCTTCACAAGCCCAAATAATCCAAGCCAATATCTTTCAAGGCCCAATTCATCCTCTTTGATTCCGCCAAGCCCAATAATGCCTCGGGAGCCTACTAAGCCCGTCTCCGATCAACCCGCGACCGCAACAAGCACCGAAAAACCTACAAAATATCTTATGCAACATAACAAGCACCCGGTACGATCCAAACTAAAGAAAATAAAATACAATACAATGCATTAATGATAAAAAGATCTAAGAATATAAAATAAACTAATAAAAATAAGGAAATAAAATAAGCTATCAACCATGGTATAGTTTTGACAGCAAGAATATGTTCATCCGGAAAGTTTTCTTGAATAACTTCTGTTGAGTTATCATTATTAGTTATTCTAGATAAATGATCCTCCACAACATTTTCGGAACCCTTTTTGTCTCGAATTTCAAGATCAAACTCTTGAAGAAGAAGGATCCATCTTATGAGACGTGGTTTGGCATTCTTCTTTTCCAAGAGGTGGCAAATGGCACTATGGTCGGTAAAAATTACAACTTTAGATCCCCATATGTAAGATCTAAATTTGTCAAGTGCAAACACGACCGCAAGCAACTCTTTTTCAGTAGTAGTGTAATTCAATTGTGCATCCAAAAAAGTTTTGCTCGCATAACAAATTGCAACGGGTTATTTATTCACCCGTTGTCCCAAAACTGCCCCTACCGCGTAATCACTCGCATCACACATAATTTCGAAAGGTAAAGTCCAATCGGGTGATTACAAGATAGGGGCTTCAACAAGTTTGTTCTTTAATGTGGTAAAAGATTCAAGACATGCTTTATCAAAGGAAAATGGTGTGTCTTTTAAAAGTAAATTACAAAGAGGTTTTGAGATTGCCCTAAAATCCTTGATAAATCTTAGATAAAAGTTGGCATGTCCAAGAAAAGAACGGATGCCTTTTACCGAAGTTGGTGGGGGAAGAGTAGAAATAATTTGTACTTTGGCCCGATCGACTTCAAAATCACGCTCGGAGACAACATGGCCAAGTACAATTCCCTCTTTTACCATGAAATGACTCTTCTCCCAACTTAAAACCAAATTAGACTCAATACAACGTTTCAAAACTTTTTCTAATTGGTCTAAGCATGTCTCAAAAGATGATCCAAAAATAGAAAAATCATCCATGAAAATTTCTAAGGCATCCCCCACCATGTCTGAAAAAATAGCCATCATACATCTTTGAAATGTGGCAGGGGCATTACACAAACCGAATGGCATCCTTCGGAAAGCAAAAGTTCCATAGGGACACGTGAATGTGGTTTTGGATTGATCCTCGGGGTGGATGGCAATTTGATTATACCCCGAGTATCCATCCAAAAAACAATAAAATTTAATATCGGACAATTTCTCAATTATTTTATCAATAAAAGGGAGAGGAAAATGGTCCTTTGATGTTGCAGCATTGAGTTTGCGATAGTCGATGCAAACTCTCCATCCGGTGACCGGTCTTGTTGAGATCTTCTCTCCATCTTCTGTATCTACATTGGCTGTGATTGCAGCAGCAAGTTGGACAGCAGAGTTCTTCGGTGGATCCCAATAATCAGTCCACTGTAATGCCTGACTTCTTTGGCACTGTCTGTGTCGGGCTCACCCAGTCACTATCAGATATTGGGTAGATAATACCCACATCAAGCCATTTTAGCACCTCCTTCTTAACAACTTCTCACATATTTGGGTTGAGCCTGCGTTGTGCATCTCGAGATGGCTTTGCTCCAGCTTCAGTGATGATTCGATGCATACATGTGGTTGGACTAATTCACTTCAAGTCTGCTATGGTCCATCCAATTGCTCCCTTGTACTTGGAAAGCACCTTCAGTAATGCTTCCTCTTGTGGACCTGTCAAATCAGAAGATATGATAATTGGTAAGTTCTCATTAGATCCTAAAAATGAGTATTTAAGATGTGAAGGAAGAGTTTTAAGTTCAAGAGTGGGTGGCTCCTCCAAAGATGGCTTAAGTGGATCCGAAAAACTTGTTGGTAATTTTTCAACTTGATGGCTCCATGGTGGTCTCTCTTTTTCAATAGCATTTTCAAATGCTTCCTCAACCATCTTGATGTCTTCCAAGTCTAACACTTCGTCCGTGTCATTAGAAAGAAAAAGCTCCAATGGATCGGAGTGTAAGATTTTGGGAGTGAATTGATGTACTAAGTCATCAACTACATCCAGACGATAACATTCATAATCTGATGGTGAGTTAGGAAACGTATTAAAAATATTAATTCTAAGTTTCCTATTTCCAAAAGATATATCCATAGCACCCGTTCTACAATTAATTTGTGCATTTATTGTTGCCAAAAACGGGCGACCCAAAATAATAGAAGGTTGACTTTCTTTATAGGTGCTATCAGTGTCAAGAACAAGAAAATCAACTGGGTAATAAAAATCTTCCACCTTAATGATGACATTTGATAATATACTCTGTGGAATTTTTGTTGACTTATCGGCCAATCGCAAAATAATATCAGTTTGTTCCAAAGTGCCTAAGTCATGTTGATCAAAAAGATTTCCTGGGATTATATTAACACTAGCTCCAAGATCAAGGAGCGCCTTTTTGATATTAATGTTACCTAGGGTAATAGAAATTAAAGGTGCTCCAGGATCCTTAAGCTTGGGTGGAAGTTTATTTGATATTATGGAATTTGCATGCTCGGTTAAATCAATCTTTTTAGGGAGGTTTGCATGGAGTTTGCGTTTTTGAACACACAAATTCTTCAAAAATTTAGCATAAGAAGGTACCTCCTTAATAAGTTTGACTAACGGGATATTTATTTTAACTTGACTAAATAGATCCCACATGTCTTCCATTGTCGTCCCTCGCTTCCCAAAAGGGAAAGATGCCGGTTTTTCTAAAGCCGAAGGGTATGGTGCAGTATTAACCTCCACACCATGCTCCCCAACTTTAGAGTCATTTTTACCCTTAGATACTTTTTGTTTTTCAGGTTTAAAATCTTTCTCCAACTCTTCTTTTTCATCAAAGATGACCTCAGTGTCACTGTCATTATCTAAGGTAGAAGCACTTACCTTATTGTCAACCTTTTTCCCACTACGCAAGGTGATTACCTGGTTCACTTGATGCTCTTTTCCGAGTCTTTGGGTGTGAGATGGGTTGACTGTTGTGGTGCTTGGAAACTTGTCATCTTCTCTTTTCCTAATTTGCTCCGCCAGTTGAGCAATCTGTTTCTCGATATCAGCTATGGATTTGGAGTTGGTGTCAACTTTTTGGTATGTTTGAGTTATAAACTCCATAATTTTGTCCAACTTGTTGCTATCTGTTTCCTCCTTCTTTGATGTTCCACCTTAGTTAAAGTTGGACCGTTGGAACTTTTTTGGCTGATTCTGGTTTTGGTAATTCCCTTGACGGTTGTTGTTGTTGACATTCCCATTGTTGTTGTAGTTCCCACCTTGGTTGTAGTTCCTATTGAATGATCATGGATTATTTTGGAATTGACCATAGCCATGCACTTGATTGATTTCCTCTTGACTTTTCATGCACTCATCTGCAATGTGTCCTGAATCTCCACAACTTACACATATCTTCTGTCCCTACGAAAAAACACACATTTCTCTTTGCCTAGACTAGAGAGTAGTAAGTCAAATTTTTTATTTAAAGAATTAATATCAGATTTGACTTCATTTTTCCAGTTTTGTCTAGTCCAACTGAAGCAGCCGATGAAACTGGGTTGTCCCGTTTCTTAGCTGAGTAATTGGTTTTTGAACCATGACTCAACTGCTCCAAGAATCGCCAAGCGTCTTCACTATCTTGCATCATAATAGCGCCGCCAGACGAGGCATTAATCATGGTTTGATTGGCAGTATTGACTCCATCATAAAAGAAACGTACAAGTTGCCAACGGGGAAATTCATGATGGGGACATGAACGCAACAATTCCTTGAGGCGTTCAAATGCATCATGAAATTCTTCATTAGGTTTTTGTGCAAAATCTTGTATAGCTTTTCTTATTTCCATTGTTTTACTAGCAGGGTAAAACTGTTGCAAAAATTTAGTTTGTAATTGCTCCCAAGTAGTAATACTATGGTGGGGCAAGAGAAGTGAACCAATACTTAGCTTTTTCTTTTAAAGTGAATGGAAATAAGTGAAGTCTAAATGAATCTCTATTAGTTCCTCGCGGAGTATTCGAGTTAGCAATTGCAAGGAACTCATAGAGGTGATTGTATGGATCATCAGTTTTATGGCCTCTAAAGACGGGTAAGACACTAATTAGTTGTGGTCTTACTTCCACATGATGCTCATTTCCTTCTGCGAAGAGTATAGGTGAAGCATCATCATACTCTCACGACTAAAAATGAGACGCCACAGATTGTCTATTAGGCTACGGAAAATAAAGATGAGGGAATTGGTTACCTTCGTTGTAGTATCCTCCATTTGTATTATTGAATCCACCATTTGGATTCCTTCGATATTGATTCCCAAAGCCTTGATTTCCGAATCCATCGTTATAGTCATTGTTGCCACCATTGGGGAAATTATGGTTGTTCCAATTATTGTTGTAGTTCCAATTTCCACCCCGATTGCCTTGATTTCGCCTGTTACCACCGTTGTGGTTTTGATTCCAACCAAGTCCGTTGTCACTTCCATCATCAAAGTCCCAGTCATCCTCGTTACCAGCATTACCACCATTACCGAATTAAGGACCAACATTTCTAGGATTTTGGTTTTGATTTCTAATATTACCACCGTTGTGGTTTCCTACATTGCCTCCCATATTTTGTGCCCATTTTCCTCCATTCCCACCATTTTGGCCACGACTGTTTCTATTTGGTTGTGGTTACACTGGTTGGATGATTGGTGCACCGGCATTGTTGTTATTTCCATTATTCCCATTGTTGTTGTTTGGGAATTGAGGAGCTTGTGGTGGAACTAGTGGTGGACGATTGTTGGCTACATCCTCACGCCCCTCGACCACATCTTCCACAACAACATTATCTACACTCATAGTGTTGATTCTCCTTCTGGCGACCCGATTTGAGAGAGTTGTTCGTTCGATTTCCGGATCAAATCCAAGCGGTGAAGAGCATCCACTATGTCTCGTATGCATGCACCGGTGTGCCTGCACAACACAAATAAAACAAAACGTGAACTGAAAACGAGAATTTAAAATGAAAGTAAAAGGCTATAACTACTTAAACACAATAGCTCAAGCGCACAATCTCCCCGGCAACGGCGCCAAATTTTGATCGAGGTCGTTGTCTCGGTCAAAAATAAACCAACTAACCTAAGTAGATATGGTAAGTCAGGTCGAATCCACAAGGAGTTTGTGGTTAAACTTTGTGTCAAAGCAGTCAATAAAAAGAAAAGTATTACTATCAATTGTCACAAAAAATATTAAAACCAAATTCAAACAAAAGCTTGGAAATTTATCAATTAAAAATAAAAATCTCAATGAGAAAACTAGAGTACTCCCGGTTCAGTTATATACATTTTAGATTCACACACTTTCATCCCTAGAATCCTAATTCAATTACTTAGATGTAATTGGAGTTTATTAACTTGGAACACATGGTTTGGGTACATAGTATGTTCATTAAACTAATTGTCTTACTTATTTATGTCTAAATGAAATGGGTACAATTAGTGAACTAGCAATAAAATGTCTTACAACTACCTATTACCATATTGAGATTCAATATCATAAACTGGAATAATATATGTTGATTCAATCACTTGTCTTTACTCCTAAACTAATTGGATTTAGAACAAATGATGAATTGGCAATAAACTATCTTAATTATGACATGAAACAACTTCATACAACCCAATTTCAATCGTTATTACCAAAAGATCATCATGTGAAGCATAAAATAACAATTGGAATTAATTAGAATCAAGAAATAATCAAGTGCGTTCATCCAAAAGTCATAAACATCCCCGGAAGTAACCCCAACGGTTTAGCCTTCCATTAAATTCATAAAAACAATAAATTTGATGGAATGATTGAAATGCATAATAGAATTCACACACAAACTTAAAATAATCCAACAATTGTAACCTAATGATTATCAAAATATGGAACAAATAATCCTTGTGAAGAAGTAATCGTTTCTGAAAGTTATTAAAATTGATGAGAATCTCCGATTGAATGATCTTCAAATGTTGCTTGATGATGAATTGAATCAAATCTTGCCTTGAATCTGGATTGAAATGGAATGGATTTGTGTTTCCAAATGTTTCCAAGGGTTTTAGAAGCCTTAAAAACGTAGGGAAAACTCTGAAAATCGCAGGTGGCAACCCTAAAAACGAATGCACAAGTCCCAATTTATAGTGTGAGACAAAAAATAATGAAATTGACCGATGTGGGACGTTGGACGTCCCAGGAGAAGTATAACGCCCATGCGTTCTTTGTACGTCCTTGCATGCCATCTGTCGTCCTTGAAATACACTGAAAATTGGCCAAAAACGTCAGACGTCTTAGGGGACATCTTAGACGCGTTCTAGGATGCTAATCCTTGTTTTCTAAACTTTCTGAAACACACCGTTCCAACACGAAACGTCCCTAAAATGCCCAGACGTCCTAGGGGACGTCTTAGACGCGATGTAAGACGCCGACGGGGGTTCCTCCTTCTTTTCTGCTTGAATTAATGACCAAATGCTGACCGTTTGACCTGGACGTCCTAGGGGACGTCTTATACGCCTGGAGGCGTCCTTCATCTTCCGTGCAAGTTTTGGTGGTCATAACGACATAACTAGCAGAAACACAAAACACGGAAGTTGTAGCAAATATCGTCTAGTTTCGAGAACTTCTTTAGTCATGTCAATCGGAGCTCCAGGACTTGAGATATGATTAAAACAATGAAGAGTGGTCAACTTTCCCGACAACATTTCTTTATTCCTTGAGCAATTCGTTTTACTTGTAGGTTCCGCCCACTTTTAGTATGATATATTGACCTGCATATGAAGTTCAACAACTCATCAAAGTAGTGACATTCTTGGACAATTACACATCAATTCAATATAATTATGACAATTTAACACATTCATAAAATAGACTTATCACTAACGTGCAAACTCTTTCTTCACTGTAAGGCCGAACGGAATGGAGTGAGGGAAGGGTGAGGGAACCGATCCCGCACCTGTGCACACCGCACTCTCTCTCTTCCAACTGTTCGCCACTGCAATTTTTTTAATCTTTTTTATACTCAAACAGCTATATAGTCGTTAACATATATATATATATATATATATATATATATATATATATATATTCTTTTTTCCTTTCCTTTTCTTAATCTATAAATACTCACACATTCTATCATTTTTTAAACCATAATCTATATTTCTCTATATTTCTTTCTAAAAAAATATTACTCTATATGTCATCATCCGATTCGACGACAGTAGAGGAGACTAAGTTTATCGGTTCCGTCATGGCGAAAACGGTTGCATACTATCAAAACCGACTTGGTGAAACATCATGTGCACGACCTAACCTAAGAAAGCCACCGTTACGTAGAAATCACGAAGCCAGACACGATCGTCTTATAGAAGATTATTTTGCAGATGACGCCGTCTACGCTGTAAAGTATCGACGTCGGTTCCGGATGAGGAAGAAACTATTTTTACGTATTGTTGGTGATTTGGAAGGCCGTTTTCCATATTTCCAATGGAAAATTGATGCAAGGGGAAAAAAGGTTTCTCTCCCATTCAAAAATGCACGGCTTCAATTCATCAGCTAGCATACGGTATGGGCGCAGACAAATGGGACAAGTATTTTAGAATGTCAGAGCGTACCGTGAGGGGCTCTGTGTACAAGTTCTGCAAAGCAGTCTGTTTGGTTTACGAGTAACGATATTTGCACAAACCAACTATCAACGATATCCACCAATTGTATACGGTGCATGAAGGCAAACATAGATTCCCTGGAATGCTAGGTAGTATCGATTGCATTCATTGGAGTTGGTCATTATGCCCCAACGCATAACATGGTCAGTACATGAGAGGCGACCACAAAGAGCCGACGATTATTCTAGAGGTTATTGCATCACATGATCTTTGGATATGACATGCATTCTTTGGTCTAGCTGGTGCAAACAATGACATCAACGTGCTAGACCAGTCGCCTGTATTCAACGATATCTACCTTTAAGAGTCACACGATGTACCTTTTCAAACAAATGGGGTAGCATATAAGCGTGGATACTATCTTACTGACGGTATATATCCTCCTTTGTCTGTTTTTGTGAAATCGTTTACATGTCCTAACGACCCGAAAAGGAAAAAGTTTAAAGAG